CAAAATCAGGCAAAGCAGGCAGGCAGATTGAGTTGCTCACAGAATCATTCAGTGATCTATCTATCTGCCATCGGCTAGCTCAGCTTCTCAAATTTGCTTGCCGTGAATCTGCATTGAATAATAGAACCTTCTGTCCTAAGGGAGGTTCCGCTGTGCTTAAAAGCAGAGCCGAAGATCTAAAGACTAGCTAGAAAGCGAGAAATCCAACCATTTCCTGTTTTCTAGCTAATCTAAATCTCCCGGCACAACAGAACAGATGATGGTCGGAAAAAGGAAAAATAGAAATTTAGCAGGCAAGTTTACCAGGTAAGGAGTGAGTGGGCGGGGAGGGTTCCCCGGGCCATGTGGGCTGAGCAGTCTTGTGTTTCTGTGCAGCCTGGATTAATTGCTTTGGGGGGTTGCTCTGGGGGTGAGATTTCTCTGCGGCCCACCAAAATTTTCTCACAGCCCACCGGTTGGCGACCGCTTGACTAGAAGACCTCCAAGGTCCCTTTCAATTCTGGTATTCTGTTATACACGTTCATATACGAGATGGCATTTTTTTAAAGGCCAGCAAATATATATTATCACACCTTTGTGTTACACATAAACCAGTAGGATGCTCATGCCACATTCTCACTTGCTTTATCCCCATACATACAGCCCAAGAGTGGTGCCAAAGCTGCCAGTTAAATTTGCAATAGTGAAAAGTGAAATTATTTTAATGACTGAGTCAGAAAAAAAACAAATTCCACTATCTGACAGTGCCAGAGGGAAGCACGTATGTCGGGAAGTAATTTAGCTCACTATATTAAGAAGCAGAAAACACAGAGCCGAGCTTAAATTTTCAGAGATTCTTGACGTGGAAACATTGGTTGCAAAAAGGTTAAGCGTTCCTTTTTCATAAAGATAGCAAGGTTAGCTACTGGTTTTACATATCCCACTGAGGCATTGGGTCATTTGCTTATTTGTGGCTGGGCATGAGATGTAAACCCAGCCACTCGGTTCATTGCTTAGCTTGATGGGAAACTTCAACCGTGGTTTATTCAGACCATGGTTTAGCTCAGTCTGTGGGCTCCATGATATTCTTAAGACTCAAGAGATGTACGGCGACATACATGTTCCTGGGCAGCATCCCTTTTATCAGACCCTTATTTTCACCTCGGTTGCCTGTTCCCGATTACTGTTTACCACCTGATTTTTTCTACTGGGTTGGGCGTTGTTAGATTTTTGTGTCTCTTTGCTTAGAAAGACTTTCTGCTTTATTTCAGCCAGTACTTCCCAAGCAGTTCAATTCCAAGAAGAATCAAGCCTGTTAAGCTTTACAAATAATCACTCCCCGGCCACTTTTTACTGCAAGTCCTGCCAAAAAAAATTTAAAAAATAAATAAATAAAGGCAGCGGTCAGAAACACCACATGTCTTGGATGTCCTGCCAACAAGGATCATGACTTATTCTTATGCAAGTTATCTTTGCGAGTTTTGCAGGTTTAAATCAAGCAAGCTCATCTTACATAACAGCTTGGCGGTTTTTCCCTCCAGGTTCACTGGGGCTGCAAAGGGTTATCCCAACACGGCCGAGTTTTGCAGGGCCCCAGTTTCAGAATGCCTGTGAGAATAACAGAACTGGGAGGGACCTCGGAGGTCTTCTAGTCCAACCCCATACTTGAGCAGGAAACCCTATATGCCATTTCGGACAAATGGCTGTCCCACCTCCAGTGTTTGGAGCATTCACAACTTCTAGAGGCATGTCGTTCCACTGAATTATTCTTCTAATTGTCAGCAATTTTTCCTTAGTTCTAGCTTGGTTCTTTCCTTGATTAGTTCCCATCCGTTGCTTCTTATCCTGCCTTCTGGTGCTTTGGAGAACAGCTTTGACCCCCCACCCCCTTTTATTTGTGGCAGTCCCTCAAATATTGTCCTTGGACTCTCTCAAAAAAAAAAAAAAAAGATGAGATGGAAACTTGAAAACAAGCTGGTTGGATTAGGAAGACCAATATTGCAGGGGGAAAACTTTGATCGCCAGGCATAAATGAGCTAGATGCTATTCCCTTTGGGCTACTTCGAGAAGACGATTCTGTGTTAGTTTGTAAGCAGGTCTCGTTTTCTCTGTCTCCACAAGATCAGCCAGATTGGAGAACTCAGTCAACGTAACTCAGCTACTGGATTATTAAAATCGCTGCAGAGTTTAGGGCTGGCTTGTTTTCAGATGCCATGGCTTACTTTCCCCATTAAAAAGAACTCTTGCTTTGCCTCTCCCTCTGGCTTCAGTTTCTGCAAAGAATGTATTGGCTGGATAACTGACAGCTTCCCCCCTGTAGTCCACAGGCAAAAGGAGGATGGGTGAAATTGGCTAGCATTTTGTCAGTTTCCCTCCAATGTGCTGTACTTTCTTCCACAGGGACAAGTCCATGGCATCATGTCAAGCTATTGTGGGGTTGTTGTTTTCCTATTCATTCTTTTCATGTGAAATGGAGAGAACGTAAGGAGATTTATGCAAGCCAGGCGATCGTTATCTTGCTTCTTGCTCTCACTGCTATTCTTTTCGCTCCCCAAAGTTTTGTCAACCTGAACACACACAGACTCGGCATCGTTGCTCCTGTCACGCAGTGCAAAAATCCTTTCAAAGCTACAGTACCCAAAAAGAGAAGATGAAAAGGGGGGGGGAAGCCCACTTGGGCACTTTGCAGGACAGTTTTAAGATGTTGAAGACAAAATTAATCTGGGCAACATTTCATCCATCTGACTTTCAGTTGTCTGAGGAGCTATAAGGCCATGAAGCCAATGTTCCCCTTTCAAATATATGAAGCTTAAAAGTTGTTACTTGTGGTGGAAGGTTAGAGTTCCCTCTAATGTGGAAATAAAACTCTAGTAACTAAAACAAAAAAAATTCACAACCTACCACGTTTCTCATAAAATAAGGCCGGGTCTTATATTTTTTTGAGCCCCGAAAAAACGGCTAGGCCGTCTTTTCGGGGGTGACTTAATTCCCCCCCTTGCATCCTCATCTAGAGCGCCCCGCGGGCAGCCTCGCCACCAGCCACTCCTAACGGGTGATCATGGCGAAGCGCAGAGAGCTCCCTACTCCCACCAAACACCTTTGCTGCAGACCCAAGACCTTTGGCACCCGCCGCTGTTGCTTTCCCTTCTGCCCATTCCGCCGCCACATTTGGAGCTGCCGCTTCCATGTTTGGAGTGCTGCTGCCATTTGGAGTGCCGCCACCATTTGGAGCACCGCCGCCACGTTTGGAGCTGCCGCTTCCGTGTTTGGAGTGCCGCTGCCATTTGGAGTGCCACTGCCATTTGGAGCACCGCCATTATGTTTGGAGCTGCCACTTCCGTGTTTGGAGCTGCCGCCGTGTTTGGAGCGGCGGCGGCGCTCCAAATGGCGGTGGTGCTCCAAACAGCGGCAGTGCTCCAAACACGGAAGCGGCAGCTCCAAACGCGGCGGCAGCTCCAAATGTGGAAGCGGCAGCTCCAAACGCAGCGGCAGCTCCAAATGCAGAAGCGGCAGCTCCAAACGGCAGCGGTGCTCCAAACGTGGAAGTGGCAGCTCCAAACGCGGCGGCGGCATGGGCAGAAGGGAAGTCAACAGTGGTGGGCGCTAAAGGTCTTGGGTCTGCTGCAAAGGTGCTTGGCAGGAGTAGGGAGCTCTCCGTGCTCTGCCATGATCGCCCATTAGGAGTAGCTGGTGGTGAGGAATTGCTGCCCGCGGGGCGCTCCTAACGGCAAGTCCCCCCGCCCTTCCCCCCATTTTGCATGTTTTAAAATAGGCCTAAATTTGGGGGGAGGGGCTTAATTTCATTTTATGCCTAGAAAACATGCTGGGTCTTCCTATTGGGGGAGGTCATATTGTTGGAGAAACACGGTAGCTGTTGCAAACACACTTCTGCTGACCTGAAAATAAATCAAAGCAGCTCCCCAGCACTGCTGACATTATGAGAACACAAAGGCTTAGAGATGCAGAATCTTTAAAACACCAAAGCCCTCAGCAGTTCAGGTTAGCGGAAATAAAGACAATTGCAGATTGCTTTCAAACTGCTTCGGAGACTTGGGGAAGTAAATACAGAATATCGTGCGAAGGTGCCCTTGTTTCATCTGGGATCCCGCTAATTTGAAGGACATTTCAGGTGAATCCAGGAACATTTGTTCTATTTCCACCCCAAGGAGGCTTCCTCTTAGCCAAGACTTAGGCGGCTGCTCTTTTCTTCTAATTTGGAGTGTCCCTAAGGAGGCAGGGGCTGTAGAATGAACCACAAAGCAGGAGGAAAGTTTTACTCTTATTTCTTGAACCCTTTCAAGGTTGCCCAGCTTCAGAAGTGGTTGAAGAGTAGTTGATATCCCTCCTGTTTGCTAGAGACTTTCCATGCTAATGAAATGAATACCGTAATCGGGGGGGGGGGGGGGGGAGCTGATGGAAACAACTTTCCTAGGCAGATAGGAGCCAGGATATTTAAGCTAAGTAGTATTTGGCCATTCACTTACAGGCATTAGCATTTCTCAACCTAGTTACGCTGCTGCTAATACATTACTATTGTAAAATGCAAACATATGCTCCTTTCGCTAAATTCAATGGAGTATATTTTATACAACTTAGTAAAAGCTTTCTACCAACTTCAGCTGGAATGCAAATAAATGGCTATGCTTAATACTCATAAGGGCTATCTATCTATCTATCTATCTATCTATCTATCTATCTATCTATCTATCTATCATCTATCTATCATCTATCTATTCCATTCATCCTTCTATCACTACCTCTCTATCTCTACCTACCTATCTATCTGTCCACCTATTTATCTATCTATCTATCTATCATCTATCTATCTATCTATCTATCTATCTATCTATCTATCTATCTATCTATCTATCTATTCCATTCATCCTTCTATCACTATCTCTCTATCTCTACCTACCTATCTGTCTATCTATCTATCATCTATCTATCTATCTATCTATCTATCTATCTATCTATCTATCTATCTATCTATCTATCTATCTATCTATCTATCTATCTATCTATTCCATTCATCCTTCTATCACTAACTCTCTATCTCTACCTACCTATCTATCTGTCCACCTATCTATCTGTCCATCTATCTATCTATCTATCTATCTATCTATCTATCATCTATCTATCATCTATCTATTCCATTCATCCTTCTATCACTACCTCTCTATCTCTACCTACCTATCTATCTGTCCACCTATTTATCTATCTATCTATCTATCTATCTATCTATCTATCTATCTATCTATCTATCTATCTATCTATCTATCTATCTATCTAAACCACAACAAAACATATTGGAATTTTAAAACTCCCACACTATTTCCTTTTGTAGAAGTGAAATTTCTCAACTCCTCGCCTACCATTTTCTGATCGGTGCCATTAAAACATTTAGCAACTAATTACTACATGCTGTTGGGGTGAGTTAATCCTGGGTGGAGTTTCCTGTTGCTGTTCTCTTTTCAGTGGAAAGAGACAAAGAAAGTTCCCACTTAACTCTTAAGTGAGAGAATCCAGTACATCAGCCTTCTTCAACCAGACACTTTGCAATTAGACCGATACTTACAGGTCCCAAAATTCCTAGCCTTTGGCTAGAAACAACATCTTTTTCCTGAATGAGAACCATCAAAGTTGAAAAATATGGATCAGAACAACATGACTCCTAAGATTAGAAGTTACAGGAATACCTTGAGAAGCCAACTGGCAAATTTATTTAAATCCTAGCGAGCCAATATGGATCACTCAGAGGTCCTGTATGCCTTGCGAGTCACGGTATCCACCCTTGATATTGAATATTAAAATAGAATCCAGGAAATAAGGATAAAAAAAGATTTTGATCAAGGGCATGAGCAAAACCAGCAAGTTGTAATAGCAACAACTTGCTGCTTTTGTGCTTTTTTTTTTAATATTGCTTTTTATTCTTAAATGCTTTTAACAATTGTAAACTGCCTGGAATTGCTAGAAGACAGGTGATGTAAAAACTTAATTGTTACATACCTTTTCATATTGAATTTGATTATATAATGATAATAATTTAGGGTAAAAGAAGGTGATTACACGAATTGCATATTTATACCCTTGCAATTTGCATAGATGTTTGTCTGCCATGTTGCGGGGAGGCAGCAAGGTAACTGTAGAATCTCCCTTGCTTTATTTGTCGCAGCCAGGAACTTACCTTTCTTTTCTCCAGTAAAAGGTACAATATCTGGTCTGTCTTGGTGCTCCAAGGCTTGTTTCTCCAAGTAGGACAATAGTCGTTCTCTATCGAAAGGTCCCGTGGCACCTTTACTGGTCTGATCTTTCTGTCGAAAGCCTGCTGGTAGAAGGGCATTCTGCCACGGCGAGAAACAGAAGGAATTATTCAGTCAGGAAGAGTTGAACATTTCCACAACTTCTTTTAAGGTGACATCTAGCTGATGCGCACGCCTGCTTCAGAGCAAAAAGAATCGGAAAAGGATACGGATAGTCCTCGACGTAAAACATTTGTTTAGCGACCCTTCAAACGAGGGGTGGGATTCTACCAGTTCGCACCTATTCGCTAGAACCGGTTGT